CGGGATGAGCAGGTGATAATGGGGGTGAATGCGGGTGAGTGGGGAGCAGGAGAATAGGGAACACGCACAGTAGGACTGCCAGGCAGCTTCCAGGCATCTAGAAACCACACGGCCCACGGAGGCATTCGATTGGTGTTTGTCTAACGCAGCGGTTCTCAACCTTGGCTGCACATTAGAATCACCTGGGAATCTTTTTAAAATCCTGATTTCTGGGCCTCATCCTGATCCTGAGACCCAGAAATCAGGATTTTAAAAAGAATCCCAGGTGATTCTAATGTGCAGCCAAGGTTGAGAACCGCTGGCCTAACGCATGGAAGAAATGGCACGTAGGTGATCTCCATCTGATGTTCTTGAGGCAACAGAGAAGCTGGGCCATTTTTTAAATTATATTTTGTGCCCAGCTGGCATGGCTCAGTGGTTGAACGTTGACCTATGAACCAGGAGGCGAGGGTTCGATTCCCAGTCAGGGCACATGCCCGATCCATTCCTGGGTTGCAGGCTCGGTTGCCCCACATGCCGGAGGCAGCAGTCAATGATTCTCTCTCATCACGGTTGTTTCTCTCTCTCTCTCCCCCCTCCCTTCCTCCCTGAAATCAATAAAAATATATTTTTAAAATGATATGTTGCTTCTCTGTAGAATGGCCTTCGGAGAACGGGATCCCTGAGATCTGCACTCCTAAGCAGGCATCACACTCTCCCGTCAGCCGCCCCTGCCGCCCGCAAGGACCCACGTGGGTGAAGAAAAGTCACCAGCTACTCCACCAGGAAACGCTCCGCCGTGCCAGTGACGGTGGCGATGTGCCACAGGCGCCCACGAGGTATGTCCGGATGCCAGGCGCCCGGGAAACGTAATATTTCAACCAGCACAGCAAACCAGGCTGAGATCCCGTGAAGGACTCAGACGTTGAAAAAAAAAACGGGGGGGGGAGGGGGGGAGGGTAGCTTTTTAAAAGATAAGATGGTTTGGTTTCTCAAATGGCCGTGAGCTACAGTGTAAGTACCGAGTCCCTGAACCAAGGCAGAATGGGGAAATAAATCAAAAACACAGGGAGGCCCCATCCAGTAAGCGAACCGCCTTCCAGCTGCTGGAAAAACACTGCAGTGCCCTGGGGTGAATAAATAATAAAAGGCTAGGGAAACAGTACACCCTGAAAACACCCTCCCTCCCGCCGTGCTGCTGGCCGGACAGGCGGGTGGCTCAGGCTGCGGGCCACACAGCCAGCAGGCACGTATTTACCCACAACACGGGGTCCTTTCCAGAGAACCAGGGGGCATTCCGAAAACCTGAAGCCGGTCTGGGACCTCATTATCTCACCTCCAGCTCCAGTATTCACCCTGAGGCACGTACCCTGCTATCTGGACTAGGGAAACGCTGGGAATAAAAACTGTGGGGGTCTCGCGCAGCCAGCGTGACCTCAGGGCCAGGAGGTCATGGTTCGATTCCCGGTCAGGGCACATGCCTGGGTTGCAGGCTCGATCCCCGGTGTGGGGCGTGCAGGAGGCAGCCAATCAGTGATTCTCTCTCATCATTGATGTTTCTATCTCTCTCTCGCTCCCTTCCTCTCTGAGATCAATTTAAAAAAAAAAAAGAAAAAAATAGAATGATGGGGGTCTCAAACCGACCGCACCCTTTTTCTTTTTCCCTATAGGTAGGCTCTTGAGATTATATCCCCACAAGTGAAACAATACACGGTGATTTTCATTCTTACCACACCTAACCTGTTTTTTTTTAAACAAACAAACAAACGAACCCCACCACTTTCATTCCTCTGGGTCTTATCTGTTTCACAATTGTAGCTTCAACTTTGCTTGTTCACACATTTTCATATCATTCCTTAAACAGATGCTATCCCACCATCCCAAGCAACTTACACAACAAACAGGTACAGAACACAACACGAAGGCCTCCTAAAAACAACAACAACATAAAGGTGGAAGTAATAGTACTGCAGGATCGCAGACTTCCAGAGCGAGAGAGGGCTTTGGTGAGTCAGAGAGCCGGTAACGGCTTGTGCTAGGGAAGAAAGCAGGTGGCTAGGAAAGGCCTAGAAAGAGAAAATGCCGAGTAGAGGTCATTTCTGCAGCCAGGCCTGGGAGCAGTGCACAGAGAAGCCAGCGCCCTGCCTCGCTGCACAGCCTCCTGCTGTGGCTCGTGGGGGCCAGGGAGCCACGGCAACGGCAGCCCAGGGCGGTGGGCTGGCTTCCAGGGCCGCTGTCAGGCACACCGCCCACCATGCAGAGCGGCCCGGGAAAGGAGCTGATACTTAGGGTCAAGCCACTTGTTCTTGGATGTTAATTGGTCATAGAGCGTGTCCTGGGATTTGAGTTTACTCCCCTTCATTCTTTTTTTTTTAATATATTTTTATTTATTTCATAGAGGAATGGAGAGAGAGAGAGAAATATCAATAACGAGAGAGAATCATCGACTGGCTGCCTCCTGGGGATCCAGCCCGCAACCTGGGCATGTGCCCCTGAGCGGAATCGAACCCAGGACCCTTCAGTCCAAAGGCCGACGCTCCAGCCACTGAGCCCAACCAGCTAGGGCTCCCCTTCATTCTTGATTTAACACAATTTTACTCCCCTTCAATCTCCCCTGAAAGCAGAGGTGGTCGCTATTACCTCATTTTACAGATGAGAAAGCCAAAGGCTAGTTGTCTTTCTCAAAGACTAGGAGCTGCTCACGTGGGACGAGGCCGGCGTGGTGTGGTTAGCCCAGCATCCCACGTGGAGCCACATGTTAGCGACACGGGAGTCTCTGTGGGCGTGGGCAATGAGAACACGAGTAGCAACTGCACAGAGAACCACACCCCCGCCCAGGGCACCATTATGAAGGTTAGCAATCCTGAACTCTGTCCCCAGGACGCCGAGTGACACATTTCCCACACAACGCATTAGAAGGGGCAGTCGCAGCTGTAGCTCCAGTCCACCGACAAGGACGAGCTGCACGTGCCCACAGGCCCGAGAGTCTGAACCCTCCAAGGAGGAGCGCGATCAAGCAGTCAGCCCAGGGTCATTTCAGGAGGTGCCCACGACTGTCTCCTCATCTAACCTCTCTGCATTTTTTTGTTGTTGTTGTTAATCTTCACCCACGGATATTTCTTCCATTGATTTTTTAGACAGAGTGGAAGGGAGGGGGAGAGTCAGAGAGAGAAGCATTGATTGGTTGCCTCCTGCACATGCCCCAACTGGGGCCGGGGATGGAGCCTACAACCGAAGCATGTACCCTTAACTGGAATCGAACCTGGACCCTTCAGTCCACAGGCCAATGCTCTATCCACTGAGCCAAACTGGCCAGGACCCAAGGATATTTTTCCATTGCTCTTCAGAGGGAGTAGAAGGAAGGGTGGGAGGGGGGAGAGGGAGAAAGAGAGAAACATGGATGTGAGAGACACAGCATGGACTGGCTCCCTGGGGGCAGGAAATGAACCTGAGACCCAGGCAGACCTCCCTGACCAGGAATCAACCCTGAGATCTGTCGTTGCCCAGGCTGATGCTCCAATCAGTGAGCCACCCAGCCAGGGCCCATCTGAATTTTTTTAAAAATCACTTGTTAAACAACAGATTTTCATCTTCACCAAAACAAGAAATTATTATTCTAAAACCACCTCATAAGTGATGGCAAATTCACATGGCATAATTTTACAGTGCAATAGTTAATGGTGAGATCAAAAGAACAAGATATGAAAAGCAAGTTACAAAATATGTGTGAAGTGATGTCACCTTTATTAATAGGTGGATATGTATGAATACATGTATGCATCAATAACATTTATGTGGCCCAGCCGGCTGGCGTTGCTCAATGATTGAACATTGACCTATGAACCAGGAGATGAAGGTTCAGTTCCCAGTCAAGGCCCATGCCTGGGTTTTGGGCTCAATCTCCAGGAGGGGGCGTGCAGGAGGCAGCTGATCAATGATTCTCTCATCATTGATGTTTCTCTCTCTCTCCCTCTCCCTCCCTCTCAGAGATCAATGAAAATATATTTAAAAAATAATACTTATGTGTAGGAAAATGGATGTACCTACTGCAAATATAACAATTATGGGTGATTTATTTTCTTTCTCGTGCTTTTCTGTGATCTGCACGTACTTTCAATGATTTTGTACCAGACGGTAAAAGTGTTTCTAGACAGCAAATGATGCTCAAACTCCAGCATCCTCACACCCCTTTGGCGGGAGTGTTAGCAGAAGCAGCTTCCCGGAGGGTCACGTGGGCAGCCCTGTCACATTTCCCAGCATTTCTCAGCCACCTCACTTCCACACGTGCACGAGAACAGTCATCACAGATTGTTCGTGGAGCAAAAGACGAGACAACTTAAATGTCCATCCCCAGAGAAATGCCAATAAATCAAGGCCACATCTGCTCAAGGTGACGCGGCCGGGAGAAAGGACGCGCGCTCAGGGACTGTCTCTAATCCTGGGACCAGGTGGGAGAAGCAAGGTGCGGAATGCGTGCTGCCGTTCGCATGATGTGACTGTTGAGAATAGACTCGCATGTGCGTGTGCGTGTACCAGCTGTCTCCGGAGGGCTCCCCTAGAACACTAGCACCACGCGGCCTTCAAAGAGGAGAAACAAGGGCAAAGGAGAGAGGAGAGCAGGTCGGATAGCTTTCCACTGGGCTGTTGAATTTTTTACTATGCGCATATGTTACTCCAAACGCAACCCCAAACAAAACCCTTAAATCGCCTGGGGGGACGCTGCACCCATTCTCTTCCTAAGGTGCCAGCACCTGAGCCACGGCCTCTCCATGCTGAAGGCAGCCCCTAAAAAAAGCTGCCTCCTGCCAGCGAAACTGGTGGACCCTGCATGCCGTGTCCTCCCAGCACCCTCAGGCGTCGCCCCCACTCTGCCCTCCCTTCCCCCCCACCTCCCCACACTCTTCTCATGACCTCTAGGACCTGGTTTAGGCGAGTATGGGCTCAGCCAAAGCCAGAGCCCTGTGTCTTCTGACAACAGTGGCCGCCTCTCCCTCGTTTGTAGTAAATAAGAAATAGTTTACCTTTCGGCAAAGGTATCCAGTTTCCCCAACTCATCCGAGAGGCTGACGAGGGAATCCAAGGTCCCCACCTGGAAAGAGCAGAGAGCAGGCAGGGCTCAGGGTCTGTGGCCGAGCAGCGAGGGTGCCTTTCCCCGGGGGGCGGGCTCCTGTGCCCGCCACCCGGAGTGCGGTGTCCTTGGTCAGCAGCCAAACTGGAAGCTGGGAAGAGCTCTTAAGGGAAATCAGTGGATTTTTAAAAAGTGTTTTTAAATGTCTTGTTGCCGGTGGGATACATTGTCACGTTTCTGCCACCGGAAGACGTGACTAGGACGTGGTGGCTGCCCTCGCCTGGCTTTCCTGTTAGAAAGGCGGCCTGCTGGGCACACGTTAATCCCGAGTCATGAGCAGACAGACCAGAAAGCAAGTTCGAGAAGTGCTCCTTCCAAAGGCCCTCTTCTCCAAGAGCGCCCACCCACCCCGCCCCTTCGAGGCATTGCAGTGATGTTGCGGGCAGGGCAGCTCCTCCCTCCCGCCATTCAGGGAGTCCTTGCCTGTTCAGATTACTTTCCACAGCCTGCTTCTACTAGTAAGTGGAAATCATCAGAGTCCGAAATTGTACTGAAGGTCTATTTGCAGAATCAGAAGAAAAAACGCTGTTAACATGGTAGCAGCCACCAATCAGCCGTGAAAAAGTAGCTAGGAGCCCTGGCCGGTTTGGCTCAGTGGATAGAGTGTCGGCCTGCGGACTGAAGGGTCCGGGGTTCGAGTCCGATCAAGGGCATGTACCTCAGTTGCAGGCCCCTCCCTGGCCCGGGCCCTGGCCAAGCGTGAGCAGGAGGCAACCCATGGATGTGTTTCTCTCTGTCTTTCCCTCTCTCTTCCACTCTTCCTAAAATCAATGGAAAGATATCCTCGGTGAGGATTTAAAAAAAAAAATAACTGGGAAACTATGCAGCCTGGGTATCTCTGGGAGGTGAAGTGGCTTCTTCTCAAGAAACTTGATTTTAAGCAACTTTGGGGAGGGGTCCTGGGTGTTCTCCTCTTTGTCCCTTCCGGCCACGCGCAGAGGAGATGGCGATGGGGCCGAACTGACTCACTGTCCCGGCAGTCATCCCTGGACAACCGTGCAGGTTTGGAAAGTCAGCAAGACACGGGTTCAGATCCCGGAGCTGCCACAAGCCAGCTCTCCACCCCGCGCCCTCCTCAGGCCGATCTAGAGGTGGGACTTGCAAAGGTTCGAGATGATGCGTTTAACGTGGCTCACCCCCAGTATCCCGCTCGACAAACACTAGCAAAAGGAAAAGCGTAGCCCGGCCGGCGGGGCTCAGGGGTTGCGCGCCGACCTATGAACCAGGAGGTCACGGTTCGATTCCCGGTCAGGGCACGGACCCGGGTTGTGGGCTCGATCCCCAGTGTGGGGTGTGGAGGAGGCAGCCGATCCATGATTCTCTCTCATCATTGATGTTTCTCTCTCTCTCCTTCTCCCTTCCTCTCTGACATCAATTATAAAAATAAATAAATAAATACAAGTAGAAGCAGCACCAACAACTGTGGCAGCTGAGGTGCAGCTCTCCTGGGAAGGGCGCGTGGAGGTTGGAAGGGGGGTGCGTGGCCGTGCTCAGCTCCGTGGGCAGCGCCGTCCCTCCAGCACCGTGGAGGCCCACCGCCTGGGGAGCAGCGCAGAACGTCCCCCACTTTGAAGTGAGAAGACTGTCCCTGTATTTGTCTGTCCTGTTCGTTTCAATCCCACTTTGTTCTTCAAAGCAAGAGCCCTTAGACCAGCGGTTCTCCACCTGTGGGTCGCGACCCCTTTGGGGGTCCAACAATCCTTTCACAGGGGTCGCCTAAGACCATTGGAAAACACATATATAATCACATATTGTTTTTGTGATTAATCACTATGCTTTAATTATGTTCAGTTTGTAACAATGAAATTGGGGGTCACCACAACATGAGGAACTGTGTTAAAGGGTCACGGCATTAGGAAGGTTGAGAACCACTGCCTGAGACCAAGTGTGTCAAACTCAAAGGCTAACACGGGCCAAACAAACGAGCGTGTGGCCCGAGGGCTGCGAGTTTGACATGCTTGTCTTAGATGCTCCTGTTGTCAAATCTCTGTCATCTGCCCAGCTAACACCAGCTCCCCTGCCTGCCTCTCCGACGGGGCCAGGAGGATCCTGGATTTCCTGCCCTGTCACAGCTGAAACTCTCCACCCTGAATATTTCAACTCTGTTATCGGTCTTCCTAGATGTTGAAGAGGAAACAGGAAGAATCTGAAAGCAATTCACAAGAGCTCAAGTGTGTAAGATGCTCCTCCCTGGGTGTGAAGACACTGCTCCCACACCCTCTCCCTCTTCCTTCTGTCCTGTCGCTCCAAGTCTGCAGGTACCACAACCCACTTGGGCGATGGCGTGAAGTCCCAGGCGGACCCTGGGCTCCGCGTCCACCCTCACCCCCAGGCAGACCCTCAGT